GCTTTCCCTGCCAGCATCTTGCACTCTGCTGTTATGTGCTGGACTGTCTCAGGGGCCTSYYTGCACAWCCTACACCTTGGGTCTTGTCTGGTGTGGTAGATCTGAGCCTCTATTGCTCTGGTGTTTAGGGCCTGTTCCTGTGCAGCTAGGAGAAGTGCCTTTGTGCTGTCCTTGAGTCCAGCTTTTTCCAGCCATTGGTAGGATTTCCTGATATCAGCCACTTCAGTTATTTGCCGGTGGTACATCCTATGTAGGGGCTTGTCCCCCCACGATGATATTTATAGTACCTCGTCTGCTGTTCCCCATTGCCTGAGACATTTGCTGAGCACATCGTCCGTTGAGGCTTTGTCCTTGATGTATTTATGGATCTTGGATGTTTCATCCTGGACAGTGGCTCTCACACTCACTAGTCCTCTGCCTCCTTCCTTACGGCTTGTGTACAGTCTCAGGGTGCTGGGTTTGGGGTGGAACCCTCCATGCATGGTTAGTAGCTTCCGAGTCTTAACATCCGTGGCATCTCCATCGAGTTTGCAATGAAGGCTCTTAGAGTCCTATTGTACATCTCTAAGCATTCAATGATCCAAGTGTGTGGCATTGAGTCATAGGCTTTCTTGTAATCAATCCAAGCGGTGCACAGGGTGCTGTGTCGGGTTCTGCAGTCTCGGGCGACTGTGTGGTCTACAAGGAGTTTTGTGTTTGGCTCCTCTGCTATTTATGCCAATGCCCTTCTGTGCCGTGCTCATATATTTATCCATGTGCCCTCTTATCTTAGCCGCTATGATGTCTGACATGAGCTTCCATGTTGTAGAGAGGCAGGTTATTGGCCGATAGTTGGATGGGACTGAACCTTTTGAGGGATCCTTCTGGATCAGGATTGTGCGCCCTTCAGTTAACCATCCAGGGTGAGTCCCATTTTGTAGCAGCTGGTTCAGTTGAGCTGCCAGTCTCTCATGGAGGGCAGTGAGTTTCTTTAGCCAGTAGGCATGGATCATGTCAGGCCCTATATATATATGTGTGTGTGTGTGTGTGTGTGTGTGTGTGTG